TGTTAAAAAAGGTGCAAAAGAGCTTTTATAGTGCAGGGGAAGGGGGCGAAGGGTGGCCAATATTTGAACCTTATTCTCATTGGAATTGGCTCAAACAGAGAATAACATACACACTTAGATATAGAAATCTATTTTAGCACACAGCAAAGTAGGAAGGTAAGGGGATAAGAGAAAAGGGAGGCAGAGGAGGTGGGGAGAGGAAAGAGGAAGGGCAAAATGAGGGAGGTAAAATTCAGAATCAAAACACTTTCGGAAATAGACAGGGTGAAAGGACAGTAGGAAAAATGGGGGAAATAGGATGGAGAAAAAGACATAATAATCATAACTGAAAATATTTTACAATAAGTTTCTCTGATAAAGACCTCATTTCTCAAATATGGAGAACTGAATCAAATTAATAGAGAAATAACAGTCATTCCTCAATTGATAAATGGTCAAAGGATATGAACAGGCAGTTTTCAAATAAAGTAATCAAAGCTATCATGCAAAAAATATTCTAAATCACTATTGACTAGAGAAATGCAAATTAAAAGAACTCTGAGTTATCACCTCACACCTATCAGATTTGCTTATATGACAGAAAAGGAAAAAGACAAATGTTGGAGAGGATGTGGGAAAATGCACTGTTGGTGAAGTGGTACACTGATTTAACCATTCTTTAGAGCAATTTGGGACTATCCTCAAAAGCCCTTTGACCAAGCAATACTACTACTAGGTTTATATCTCAAAGAGATAAAAAGCAAAATGAAAAGAATATATTTGTTCATAAAAGCTCTTTTAGTGGTGGCAAAGAACTGGAAATTGACTTGAGAATGGCAGAACAAGTTCTTCTATATGACTGTGATAGAATAATACAGTGCTATAAGAAATAAGCAGGATGCTCTCAGAAACACATGGAAAGACTTATATAAACTGATTCTAAGTAAAATGAGCAGAACCAGGAGAACACTGTATATAGTAACAGCAATACTGTATGATGATCAACTATGAATGACTTAGGTATTCTCAGCAACACAATGTTCCAAGACAATTCTGAAGGACCTATGATGAAAAATGCTATCCATCTCCAGAGAAAGATCTGATGGAGGCTTAATGAAGACTGAAGCATACTTTTTCTTTATTTATTTTTCTTGGTCTGTTTTCTTTCACTAAACCGACACGTTTTGCACTAGTGCACACGTATAACCTACATCAAATTGCTTGGCTTCTTTTTCTTTCTTTTAGGCAATTGGGGTTAAGTGACTTGCCTAGGGTCACACAGCTAGTAAGTGTCAAGTATTTGGTCTGAGGTCGGATTTTAACTCAGGTCCTCCGTCAGGGCCAGTGCTCTATCCACTGTGCCACCTCACTGCCCCTCACACGAAGATTTTTATTATTCATGTGGTTTCAGTCATGTCTGCTTCTTCATGACCCTATTTGGAGTTTTCTTGACAAAGATACTGGAACGTTTGGCCACTTCCTTCTCCAGCTCATTGTATAGGTGAGGAAGCTGATGCAAAAAGGATTAAGTGACTTGCTCAGAGTCACACAGCTAGTTAGTGTCTGAGGCCAGATTTGATTTCCTTCTTCTTAACTCCAGGCCCTGCACTCTATCCCTGCGCCACCGGGTCACTCCTAAACATGAAGACACAGAGTTGGAAGTAAACTTGTTATTTTTTATTCTTTTTGCAGAAGAAGTCTCCAAAGCTTTTCTTTGTTGAGCTTCCCTAGCGTATGTCAACTTGATTAATTTACAAAAATGATTCAACTTTACAATGATGCAGCTATTCCACAAAGATAGGTACTCTAGTACATGCATGTGATGCAAGTTTATTTATGTCAAGTTAAGTCAATAAGCACTCAAGTGCCTATTATGTTTGTGGCACTGTGATAAGTGTTGAGGATACCAAGGGAAAAAAAAGGCAAAAAATCATCCCTGCTCTCAAGGCACTCAAAGTCTAATGATGGAGACAACATGCAAACAACTACGTACAAGCAAACTATATACAGTATAAACTGGAGACAATACACAGAGGGAAGACTAGCACGAAGGGGGACTGAGAATGGCTTCTTCCAAAAGGTGGAACTTGAAGGAAGGCAGGGAATCCAGAAGATGGAGCAGAGGAAGGAGAAAATTCTGGGAATGGAGAAACACACAATGAAAGTGCCTGGAATCAGGAGATTGAGTGTATCATGTGGGGAACAGCAGGGAGGTCAGAACATTGGATCACAGGGTACAAGAAGAGTATAGTGTAATAAAACAGGAAAGGTAGGAGAATGCCAGGTTATTAAAGCTTTGAACCAAGTAGAAGTGTTAAGTAATGCTACATGATAATTCTTTACAGAATGATTTCTGATATATCAGAAAGCTAAAATGAATAATCAAATTTTTGGAATTATACAAAATCTCAAAACAAATACATACCACACAACTAACTTTAAAGTTGAAAATTCAACAGAAAATTCAGAAGATTAATAAGAATTCTTCTATATATGCCCCGACTGAAAACCTGTTCAGCTCTTATATTACCCTAGAATTGATTTAAATCTACAGAACTTCCATATGCTGAGGGAGTATTACAGGTACCAGAAAAGTCCGTTAACATACTAAAATTAGTGCTAAGAATTTATTAGACTTTTTTTAACATAGGACATTACCAAAGGGTCATAAATTTATAGCCAGAAAGGATTTTTTTGGTAACTGAATTCTCTCATTTTCCAGAGTGGAAACTGAAGAACATAGAAGTTAAATGATTTACCCTGGGCCACATAGGTAGTACGTATCCAAGGCCAGATATGAATTCCAGTATTTCTGGGTTCTATCCAGAACACTTCATACTCTCACTCCTATAATCAAATGTCTCAGTCTCATGGACAATTCACAGACAGTCCTATGCCTGGCATGGTGCCTCACATATACTGGTTGGTTACTGTCCTTAGCTCTCAAAAAGGACCCAAACTGACATCACTATGTTAACAGAGTCTGTCCCACTGTGGCTGATCACACCAACAGGAGCTTGGAGTGCTCTACCACAGGTCAGGCACAAACAGTCCACGTGAACATTTGGCATGGATTCTCAAAGTGTGCAGATCTTATGTCTCTTTGGGCAACTTCAATTCTGCTTTGCTCATAGAGCACAGCACCTTCTTTGGTGAAGGCATGCCACCCTGGGTGATGCTGTGTCAGGGTCTCCCATGTCACAGTCAATTCCAAAGTTCTTCAGAGAATACATATAGTTAGGATCATAAGATAATAATATCTAACTAGCATTTATATAGTGCCTGTGTGCCAGGTACTGTGTTACATGCCTTTTATAAATATGGTCTCATTTGATCCTCAAAACAGTCTTGTAAAGTAGGAGCTATTATTACTCCAATTTTGGAGTTGAAGAAACTGAGGCAAAGAGCAGTTAAGGACTTGCCCGGGGTCAATCAGCAAGTGTCTGCAGGCTGAATGTGAACTCAGGTTTTCCCAGTTCTCAGCCACTGCACCACCAGCTGCCTTGAAAACTGATCACTGTTTTCGAGCTAATAGGGAATTTAGAGGTCATCTAGTGCAATGTCTTCATTTTATAGATGAAGGAACTGAGATGCCAAAGGACACACAGGTAATATCAGAAGTAGTACAGAGATTCAAACTTCAGTCCTCTAATGCCAAATTCAGCATTCCTTCCACTGCCCCAGGGCGCCTTTCATTAGCCATTTAGAAAATATTTACTGAAATTAATTAAATCCACTTGAAATCCTCACTATAACAATTCTGTGGCTCCACTAGCACTAAGAAAAAAATGTTCAGGAAATGACTGTTCTTTGCCTTTTTTATTAAAACGGGAATGATTTTTCAAAATTTCTAATAATAATATTGTTGAATCAGTATATGAGGCTGTCTTATTTAGAAAAGTGCATTTCCTCCTTCACAGGAGTAGGTAGCGTTAATACAACAATTTTTCTTTCATTGCTCACTAATGAAAAAGTAATTACCATCAGAATCCTACTGGAAATATGGCCTTCGGAATATAGTAGGTCTAAGTACAGGTACCGTTGTTTTTGCAATGAATAACAGATTTATTTTGTTTCACATAAAAAAAAATACAAGGGGAGACTAGGTGGTGCAGTGGACAGAGCTCCGGCCTTGGAGTCAGGAGGACCTGAGTTCAAATTTGGCCTCAGACACTTGACACTTACTAGCTGTGAGACCCTGGCAAGTCACTTAACCCCTATTGCCTTACCAAAAAGCAAAAATAACACACACACACACACACACACACACAACCATCATTTTATTCATTACCCTTCCATTTCCATGGTGAAAAGGAAAACTTAGATTTGAATTCTATTGGCTATTTATGCAGTTAAAAAACATCGTTTATCTTGCACTTTTTTTTGTTTTTGTTTTTTTCGTGAGGCAATTGTGGCTAAGTGACTTGCCCAGGGTCACACTGCTAATAAGCATCAAGTGTCAGAGGCTGGATTTGAACTCAGGGCCTCCTGACTCCAAGGTTGGAGCTCTATCCACTGCACCACCTAGCTGCCCCAAGAATGCTTTTTAGAAAAAACTCAAAGTCTGCCATTAACCTTTAATTAGCAACAAAAAGCTATTTTCAAGTTTTTAATATTTATGATTTTTTTTAAAAAAAATTTTCATCATCACTACATTAAGTATTATAACCCCCCCAAAAAAACCCCAGCATTCTCTTTAACATTAAACCCTTAGGAAAAGAAGATCTGAAATGGATTTATAAAGAGAAATGATTTAGTTTATTGATTATTGCCATCAAAAATTTGAGAATTTACCTAATCTAATAAAGGCTTTTAGAAATATAGTTTAAAAATATTTCCTATGCTATGTTTAATTCATACAACACATTCTATGTCAAATACAATCTAAGATCAATGATATCATTACCCCAAAGATGGGTTCATTTAATATACAGCAGGGAAAATTTTTTTTTTAGTATTCGTGTTCCATTCTTACATTACAATCTTTCTCAAGACCAGAAAAAAATGAAAACAGAGAATACCTTTCCTGATGACCCAAATCAAATAGAAATTCATCCACATGTCTTTGGAGTTGATTTCCTTCTAAATTTTTCAATTTCTTCAATTCACTCTGGAGAAAAAACCAGAGCTCCTTAGCTCCATTTTCAATCCTCCTCCTCAGTATTTCATGATCCTTCCCTAGACCTGCTATTGAAGAGCATAAGAATATCAGCATTTCCAAAACTTGGCTGAGTGGAAAATTTCAAATATTTGTGGTAAAGCAAATATCAGGGGAAGAACAATTAAAAGTGGTATAGTCACCAACCATCTCTGGTTTGCTTCTTGTAATTTTCTATCTGTTCTTTGGCTTTTAAAAGCTGTTCTTCTAAAGCACGTACCCTTCCTGCAGCTGGTCCCTGGTCCATGGGACCTTCTGGTATCCTATAGGATAAGAAACAAAATATATTCATTTAGATAATAAATTATGCAACAATACCTGCTTACTTTGCTAAGTTTTATTTATTGATAACTGTCCAAATCACTACATCAAAGAGCACAATAAAAGCTGGCAATAATTTCTCTCTTCTTAGGTATAGAAGAACATTAGAAACAAAGTTGGGTTAAAATAGAATGTAATGCCCTAACTCAGTTGCGTTCTTATAAGAAGCACAGAATCTTTTTCAACTTTCTCACTATTCTCAAAAAACTGCTTTTACTGTCCCTCTCCCCAACCCCCCAGTCTAACACCTCTATTCTCTCAGAGGTCATATACAATTGTGGATTAGCCATAAGGATTAGAAATAGCATGGACTAGTGAAGTCAGGAACATTTGGATTCAAATTCTGGCTCAGATACTTAATAGCTATGTGACACTGAGCAAGTCATTAATCTCTCCTGGCCTCAGTTAAAACTGTAAAATAAAAGAGTTGGACTTGATAATCTCCAAGATCTTCCCAGCTCTAAATCTATACTTGTATGATCATTTATTTTGCATTTTTATCACAGAAGCTTCCTTTTCACAGACAAACTTGATTCTAAGCTGCTGACAGTAAGGCCATGCCAGGAGGTGAATGAATATTTGTGTCCACATTCCAAAGCATAAATAACAATTTGTTTCTCCACTATTTTAGATTCATACTATTCAATAGTATGGGAGCTAACTACCAACAAAAAACTCAAGTTTTATTGTACTGTTAAAATCTAATGGCCTGTTTGTGCTCAGCAGAGTCAATTATTTTCATTATCTAAATGTGAACATGGTAGAAAAAATGAGAATGGTTAAGAAGGCAAATTATCTGACAGTACTAAGTATCTTTCACATGTCCACAGGGAACCCAATTCAAAGATACTTTTCTAGCATAATTCTAATACTACCTGCTTTATCCCAGCTTTTGTTCTTCAGGAAATGTTGAAGAATTGTATGTAATATAATCAATATTGTCAAAATCCTCTGGGACAAAAATTTGTAAAGCCCATGTTACGAATGAGTCAACAGGTTAAATAATCGTCCTAGAGAACACAGAAATGTGCTGAATCAGGGACACAGTCTAGTTCTTTTAAGTATAATGTAACAAGGAGAACCCAAATCAGGCTAACAACATGATATGACCTAGAAAGAAAGGAACACTCAAAAACTATACTAAGGTGTAAGATTGGGTCCAGCAGCCCTTCTTTACACTCCACTAACTGAAAGAGGCAGTGACAGCGTAAGTACTTAATTTTTTCCATTTTCCATCTTCACCCACTCCCCCACTTTTGAAACGGTACTCTTCATCATAGTCCATTATTAAATGTCATTACCTATTCAGAATGATGGAGAAATACCCAGTTAAACAAACAAAGAAGTTGCTAAGCTTAAGGATGGTTTTCACTTGGTGACCACCCCAAAAACATCATTACCTGAGATTCCATAATAAGTTACCTTAGTATGTTACTCAATTGATTAATATAAAAAGAAAAAATATCATCCAAATTCACTGAATTATGGGATTATTTGGTCATTTTGCAAAGGAAAATTAGACACAAAATGTCTTTTACCATCATCATCACCATTTAAATTAAGGAATTTTTTTTTATTACACTTGGTTAGAAATCTCCATACTTCTAATCAAAAGCTTAAGCACAACAAACCTCTTATAACAATTTCAATATTTCTTATGTGGCCAAACAAGGAGAAAGAACTATTAACTACCTGGAACACTTAAGAACATCTGTTCAGCAAAGCAGCTGGCTTTTTTTTTTAACAGTTAAGGCACCATTAGTGGATATATTTTATATTTTTCCTCTAAATTGGTATGCATTAGCACTGACCAGGAACAGATGCATGAATAAAAAATAACCAGCTTCCAGAAGAAAAACATGTTGCTTCCTCTTTAAATCATAAGTGTCCCAGACTGCAGAAGGTACATGAAAAAGCCTTCATTTGTGTATGCACAAGCTGGGTAATGATACAAGGAATGGAGCACTTAGGTGCACAATTACCCAATTTATGACTGTAAACATATATATATATACTCATAAATGAGGCATCTCCTAGTACACCACTGTTAAGACTGTGAAAAAAAAATCAGATCTTAATCTCCTTCTCAATTGGATGGGCAGTTTCTGGAAAATGATTTGAAAGCAAAATAAAACCCATATCCCTTAAGTTTATTTTAGCAGCAGTCAGCTCTAGGACAGAGGTGTCAAAAGAATGGATGTAAGAACATACTTTATCGATGCAAACATGAAGACAATAGGAAGGTTACTTCCAGGTTCTCTTTTTCCTTTATTTCATCATCAACCGATAGGATAACATCAGGGACAAAATGGGACTGGCTGTATTAGGTATGATCTTAGCAGCAAATTTCCATTAAGTATCTAAGTCTAACCTTGCCATATATAAAACCAGATATGGATCAATAATTTTCATTATATAACAAAACCAATCTAACTCTAGATGGGTCTGTAGTTCAAAAGCCATTAAAAAAATGGTATGTATCATAGGCTTATTTTCTCCAAACCTTGGGGAGTGAGAATCTCCCCACTTTTATAATCTGAAACTTGATAGCTCAATGCATGCATGGGTGTGTGTGTGTGTGTGTGTGTGTGTGTGTGTGTGTGTGTGTGTGTGTGTGTGTGTTGAGGGGACAGGAAGTTTGATATATTATATAGTTTTATTTCTTTTTTAAAAAAAATTTTTTTTCCTGATATCGTCTTTTTCTGTCACCTACACTGACCACCACAGCCTTCAAATAAATAGAATTATGCTTTTCTATACACAGCCATCCTATATATGGCTATCCAATATGTACAGTTTTTCAAAGCTTAGGAGGCCCATGTCCCTTGGAGTGGGGTATACTAAGATTCTAACTAAGGACTTTTCCCTCCATTTGGAAATTTCACTTCTGGATGGGCATTGATAGCTACTACCTTAGTCTTGCTCAACAAGGGGGATCAATTGCTGGTGCATCCCCATTACAGTAGTAGAGGTGATGGGACTTGACCTGGTTAATATAAATGCCAGAGAAACACCAATATTTTTCTGATTCTCAGAAAAGACCTTCTGTCTTGTACACCATCTCTCTTTGGGTGGCTACTGACTATAGAAGAGGTCTAGAGTATTGAGAATTTCTCCAGTTACAATCAGCTTTTGAGTCACCATCTCTTTCTTCGAATGTGTTCTATTTCCTAAGTCCTCGTCACAGAGAGCTACTAAATATGGAGTCAGTTGCCCACAGAAACAAACAGGTATGGTTATCATGTTTTACTCTCAGGACAGAATCCATAATAATTTTTAAAATACATAATAAAACCATCTACTATGCAGCTGTGTACCTGAAGCTTCTCTCTGAGTAACAAAACCAGGTGATTTAGAAAAGGGACTTTTCAGCTTGCTTCAGTCTCCAAAGCACTCATCCTATACACTTAACATTTAATAAGGCCAATCAAAGAATTCTAGATCTAGGTGGAGAAAAGGTCCTTAGAGGACACCTACGCCAACCCCCTCATTTTATAAATGAAGAAAGTGAGTCCCAGGAAGATTAAGTGACTTGTCTATGGTCACACTGTGTTAGAAGTAGGATATGAACTCAGAGTCGGTGCTCTCTCTTCTTGAAGGAACTCTAGACCCAAGGCTCAGCACAACATATATAGATGCCATCCCACTGCAGGACCTCATCAACCTCACAGCTGGATTACTGCAATAGCATGCCTGTTGGGCTCCTGGCATCAAGTCTCTTCTTACTCCGGTCCACCATGTCAACACACACACACACACCCCTATTCAATAAAATCCAGTGGCTCCCTATCACCTCCAGGATCAAATATAAAATCCTGTTTCACTTCCAAAAGCCCTTCATAACCTTCTGCTATTCCACTTTTTTTTCAAGTATTCTTATACTTCGCACTCTACCACACACGCCAAAATCCAAAACACTGGCCTTCTTAATGTTCTTTCCACAAGACACTCCAACTATAAACTCCTGGCATTTTCACTGGCTATCCCCCATGCCTAGAATGCTTTACCTCCTCATTTCTATCTCCTGACTTTCTTCAAGTCCCAGACAAAATCCCATCTTCTGAAGAAAGCCTTCCCCAAACCTCCTTGATTCTAGCACCTTCCCTCTGCTAATGATCTCCAGTTTATCTTGTATATAACTTGTCTGTACACAGTTGCTTACATGGTGTCTCCTCTATTCGACTGTGAGTTCTCAAGGGCAGGGACTGTCTTTTGCCTTCCTCTGTATCACCGGTGCTTAGCACAGTGCCTGGCACACAAAAGCTTAACAACTGACTGACTCACCATTTGGTGCCGACTGGAACTCCTGCTGGCCACCGTCTTGTTTGTTTGTTTGGTGTCTTGTTACTAGCAGAGATGGCCAATTGCTTTTCCCTACAGCAAGCTCGTCACCCTTGGCCAAGGTGAGGCAGACTCAGTGGCAAGGCCCAGAGAGAGGCCTGCCAGTATTTGGGCTCCCTGGCATCTAAGTATCCTCGAGGTAGGCTACCGCACCTCCCTTTGTAGATGCATCTTGATATTTCCTGTGGCACACTTCTCTTTGTTACCGCATTTCATCACCCTCCTTTGCCATGTGAGCTCTATGAAAGTAGACACTGTTTCATGATTTGTATTTGCCTCTTATCATCTAGCACACGGACTGGCACACAGTAGGGACTTAACTCCAGTTACTGATTAACTGCTAATCAATGTCCTTGCTCTTCCATTGGACAGCCAAAGTGCCACACCATACTCCCCACAGGGAATGGTAAAAAGGTGGGAAGCAGGAAGGCCAAGAAGAAAAGGAAGGTGATAAGCATTTGTATGGCACTTCTTATATGCCAGGTACATAAGGCCTGGCACTGTGCTTACTGCTTTAAAATATTATCTCATTTGATGCTTTTATCATTCCCATTTCACATTTGAGGAAACTGAGGCAGAGAAAGGTTATGTGACTTACCCA